GGGATGATTAAGGGAATAGTTTGGACTGGGGCATGTGAGAGATGAGGGCATGTGGGACTGGGGCAGGGAGGCTCAGTCCTCACAGCTCTGTCCAGAGGCCTCCTGGGGCCTGTGGAGTGGCCAGGGGCTGCACCAACACTCCAAAGCTTTGTTAGTGTTCCACACCTTTTCAGCCTGAGGACTCTGCTGGTCCTGTGCTGGTCCCTGCACTTCCAGCACATCCCCACCTCACAGGACAGGCTGTAGGCAGATTGGATCCTCAGCCTCTGATCCCATGGGCTCCATGTTCCTCCACCACCACCCCTAAACGTGAGCCTGGGGCCAGTCCTGCCTGGGGGGATTGCTCCCTGCTCACTCCAGGACCTGCTGAGCATCTGGAAGAGTCTCAGCTTGAAGCTGTCACCTGTCAACACTCGCTTGGTGCTCACCTGGCTCTGCTGCCCAGGGAAATTCCAGCTTCTCTTTATCCTGTGTTTTTATCCTTTTGGCTGAATTTCTGTTGTTCTCCCTGTGCTGTCCCTTCCTGCTGTCCAGCCACAGCCCAAAGGGGGGTTCACAGTCACCCCTCTGCACCTTCCAGCACTGCCTTCCCTGCCCGCTGGCGGCCTGTCCTTGACAGGGCACTGCTCACGTCCTGTGTACGACGAGGAGGAAGATGCCCTTCCCCAGGGCTGCCTTTCCCTGACGGTGCTTCACCCTGAACAGCAGCTTTCCCATGCTCTCCCTGGGGTGGAAGCTCAGCCCAGAGCTCCCCCAGCATAAACTCGTTGTGATTTGTCCTTTGCTGCTTTGGCTCGTTCTGAACCCGGCCGTGTTTCGAGGCGCTGGGCTGTGCTTTGCTGCTTGTGACCCCCACGTCCCCCAGCCGAGCCACACACCCGCGTCCCGTGGGTGCCACAGGGCTGTTCCTGCTCCCTGGGGCACAGCTTGGGGCTTGTCCCTCCATGTCCCTGCTCCTGGGGGGCTCCAGGCTCCCCCGTGTAACCCCCAAGGTGCCAGCAGAGGCTTTGTGCTCGGAGAGGACGTGGTGGCTGCGTGAGGTTTTAGTTTCTAGGTATATGCAATAAAGAATAACCTGCCCCCCGAGCTGTCCATTACCAGCAGTAGTGCTCTCTGCTCTTTCTGTTGATGTTTACTAATGTAAACCCAGTATTTGTTACTGTAAGAGGACTTTTTTTTTTTTTGTACGGTACTTTGAAAAAACCCACAAAAACAACCCCAAAAAAAAAAGAAAAAAAAGAGGAAAGAAATAAACAGAGTTAATGAAGCAGGCTGCTGGATTGCTTGGATTGCTGTGGGAGGTTGTGCGGGGGCAGGAGGGTGGTGGGGCTGTGCCCCAGTTCCTGGGCTGGGTACAGGATGTGACCCACCGTGCCAGGATTGTGCTCCCCGGGGCCGGAAACAGCGGCTGCAAACCGGGGAACGACGAGGTTCCTCCCCGCTCGGCCCCGAAATTGAGCTCGGGCTGTGTTGGGCTGTGTTGGGCTGCACCCCGTGTACCCCGCTGGCCCGGCACCCCCGGGCCGGGCTGGAGCCAGCCCCGGTTCCAGCTCGGGGAGCTCCACGCGTGGCTGCTCCAGGCTGGGTTTCACTCCCGGACCTGTCACAACCCGCGGGGAATCGGCGGCTGCGAGCCCAGAGCTCCCGGGCAGGGACAGCGGGGACCCGGTGGCCGGAGCCCCACGTGGGCCGGAGCGTCACGGGAGGCGGCGGCTGGGGCGGCAGGAGGGGCAGGAAGGGCGCAGGAGGCGGGGGCAGCCGAGCCTTAAAAGTCCCCGCTGGGACGGGCTCGTTTCCGCGTCACCCCGGCTTCCTCATGGTCCCCGCGGTGCCGCTGGCTCTGCTGGCCCTGCTGGCCCCGGGGCTCGCGGTGGCCCCCGGCTGTGATTACCCTGCCCACCGCTGGTGCAGCTCGCGGGACATCGCCGTCGCCTGCCAGGTCAGAGCCGCTGCTGCTGCCGGGGCTGGGGACAAGGGCAGCGCCACCCGGCAGCGGGGACGAGGGGACGGGGCTGGGACAGCGCCTGGAGCGAGCAGCGCTGAGGCACAGGCTGTGCCATGGACAGGGATGCTGAGCCTCGGGTGCCACACGGGCACTACGGCAATCCCCAGCACCCCTGGGGAATGGCTTTGGTCCAGCCGGACCCTGCCCGCGGCCCCTCCCCGGCTGCCGCCGGCGCTTCTGCTTTTCGGCTTATTCTGCCCCAAGCAGTCACCGTCCTGTGAGCCCCACGGGGCTGCAGCTTCCCCCTGGCCATGCCCCCACCCAGGCATGTCCTGGTCTAAATTTGTTTTCCCCTGAAATATTTTGGGGAAGTTCTGGTGGAAAGCCCCAGCGCTGGGTTCAGCCCCGCACAGGATCCTGCGGCAGCAGAAAGCTCCCGGCCACTCTCACTTCCTCTAGCCCTGCACACATTCATCCTCCTTCTTCCCTGCATCCCTAGAGCTTTGCCCCGTCCCTGCAGATACGGGGATGGGGGGCTGCAGCCGTATCCCCCCCGTGTACCCCGAAACCTCCCCGTGTGCAGGTGGAGAGCCGCTGTCCCAGCCTCCCGCGCCCCGCGGCCGCGCCCGTGCAGCTCAGCCTGTACTACGAGAGCCTGTGCCCGGCGTGCCGCGAGTTCCTGGTCACCAAGCTCTTCTCCACCTGGCTGCTGCTGCCCGAAGAGATGCTGAACATCACCCTGGTGCCCTACGGCAACGCCCAGGTAGGAGCCGGCCCTCCCGGCGCCGCGGGCGCTCGCCCGGTGCCGCCGGCCCCGCTCAGACCGGTTGGTCCCGCAGGAGAGGAACGTCAGCGGGAAGTTGGACTTTGAGTGCCAGCACGGCCCCGAGGAATGTTTGGGCAACATGATGGAGGTGACGGTCCCCGTTCCCACGGTGCTGGCACTGGGGGGGTCCGGTGGCCCCTCACCACCCGCCCTGTCCCCGTAGGCCTGTCTGATGCACGAGGCCAAGAACTTCAGCACCTACTTCCCCGTCATCTTCTGCCTGGAGTCGGGCAGCTCCGTCACCAAGAACCTGGAGGCTGTACGTCCCCCTCCCCGCCCCTTGTGCCCCACCTGGGGGCTGTCCCCATCCCCTTGACCGCCCCCACGTCCCCTGTGCCCGGCAGTGCCTGCAGATCTACGCCCCAGAGGTGGACAGTGGCCGCGTCGCCGCCTGCGTGCAGGGGGACACGGGGGTGGCCCTGATGCACCACAACGCCCAAGTGACCGAGGCACTGGACCCCCCGCACCAGTACGTGCCCTGGATCACCGTCAATGGGGTATGGCAGGGGGGAACTGGGGTGCCACCTAGGGCTGGGACACCGTGGGGACCCCCCTGACCGGCCCCGTGTCCCCCCACAGAAGCACACGGACGAGCTGCAGGCACAAGCAGAGGCTTCGCTGCTGGGGCTGGTTTGCCACCTCTACCAGGTGGGACAGGGCTCTGAGGGGACAGCAGGGCTTGGGGACACATCCCCATCCCTGCTGGGGCTCTAATGGCTTCTCTCTGGCAGGGGGAGAAGCCTGAAGCCTGTGGGGGCTCCAAGGCCCCGAAGTTCCCATCTGGCTGCAGGCGCTGAGGGAGGTTCTGGGAGCACCAGGAGAGAGGCCAATAAAAAGGATATTTTTGTTGAAAACCTCCAGGATCTGGAGTGGGGGAGCAGGGAGGGGGTGGTTTTGTCCTGACACAGTGGGAAGGGGAGAGGGGCTGGGCACCGGGATTGCCCTCCAGACCTGGGAATTACCTGCTCCAGAGGTTCAGAAAGAAACTCCTCAAAGATTCTTAGGGAACTCTGCTGAGCAGCTCCCTGAGGAGCAGAACATCTCCTCTCTCCACGTCTTGGGAAGCGGCTCTGGTGTCCATCTTTCTCCTCCTCATCTTTCTTCAGGCACTGGGGCCAAGACCATCCCATTTCCCACCAATCCTTCTCCATTCCCAGCCAGCAGGTTTAGGATGGAGCTTTCCTGGTGGCTCCCTGAGCACTTGGGACAAGAAGTTCTCTCTTCAGGAGTTTCCCAGACCTGCTTGTCCCAGCAAAAGGCCATTCCCAGCTGGGCTCTGGGAAACAAAATCTCCACAAGGACAAGGAATTCTTGATCCAGAGAATTCTCACTACCTGTAGAACAAGTCCTCAGTGCTGGAGTCCTGGCTGGGTGATGGGCACCAGAACTCACACCTGCTTTGTTTTCCATCCCCCTCATCCTCAGCCAGAGGCTCCCAGCTGCAGGGACTGCCCTCAAACCTCTCCTCACACAAGGTGTGACCCCATCCCCTCACCAGCCCTGCCCACCTGAATCCTCCAGTCCAGCACTGCAGGCACGGGACTCATCCCACCACATCCCAGCTCTGGCTCCACACCAAGGGCTCTTGCACTGGCAGACCCCTGAGAGCCACCTGTAACCTCCCTTAACCCTTTCCCAGAGGAGCTGGGGGGGCTGTGGGAGCAGCAGGACACAGGAGCCCCTCACATTCCATCCTGAGAGATGCCAGAGAGCCTTGAGCACCCAAGAGCCAGGAGGAACCACGGTCCTGCCACCACAGGCATCACTCCTGTCTCTCTCAGGCTCAGCCAACCTGGGCCACCTGCCCTGGGCACCCCTCAGTGTCCCCACCACCCCAAGGACAGCAAGGGAGGCAGCTGCAAGCAGAGACCCTCCTTCCCTTTAAAAAAACAGCAAAAAAGGGGGGAAAAAAATATCACAGCATCAACCAAAGAATGCCTGGAAACTTAATCTCTCTTTATTGCCCATTTCTCATCCAACACCTGGACCCCAAACCCAGCTCTGGGCCCTGAGCAAGCACAGTCCCAGCGGCACGAGCACAGCACGGCCCAGCTCCTGCTGCTGCTCAGCGTCTGCCTCGAGCATCATCCTTGCCCCAAAACTTCTGTCCCCTGGATCAGCTGCACTGCCACCGCCCACAGCTCGCAGGGCCACAGAAAATTCTTCTGCTCGAGAGAAAAAGGGAAAAGAAAGGAAATAATAAACCCTAACCCTGAATCTGAAGGAGTCTCAGCGCCGGAGGACGAGTTCTCCTCTCCCGAAGCTGCCGCCGGAGCCCTCGGGGCCGTGGGGCAGGCGCAGGACCCGGTCCCACAGGCCGAGGGGCTCCCAGGGTGCTGCCAGGGCTCAGCTGGGAGGAGCGCTGGCCGCAGGACAGAGCCCGCTGGCCCAGGGTGTCCAGGACCCCTCGGCGCTGCCCCGGCGGCTCTCGGCGCCCAAGCCCAGCCCGAGCGGGTCCCAGCCCCCGCCGGGGAGCAGCGAGCCGGGGAAGGCGCTGGAATTTCCAGGAGTGAAATCGCCGCCAGGCCAGGTCGGTGCCAGCAGGTCCTGCTTCAGGAGGAGGGACAGCGACCCCGAGGCATCATCATCCAACTCCGGAGAGCTGCTGGCCAGGGAAGCCCCGAGGCTGCGGGGGAAGCTCGGAGCAGCCTCCGGTCCCTTCCAGCCCGCCCGCTCCTCCTCGCCTTTCTTCTTCCCCCCCTTCCCGCACAGCCGCACCACCCTGACGCCGTGCCAGTCGCGGTGCCCGAGGCTCTCGAAGGCTCTGTGGGCGCTCTCCAGGCTCTCGTACTCCACCAGGGCACAGCAGCGGCTCAGCAGCTCGGGGAAGCGCCCCGAGTACCTGCGCACGTCCGAGGGCAGCTTGCGGCCCGGCCGCAGCAGGCGGATGGAGGCGATGGCTCCGAAGGGGCTGAACATCCTCGCGATGGTCTCCAGGAAGGTCTCCTGCAGCAGCAGCTCCTGCTGCCGCGGCTGCAGCTCCCAGGCCAGCAGCTTGCTGGGGGGGACGCTCAGCAGGTGCTCGGGGATGGGGAGCCGCCGCCTGACTTTGGTGCCCTCCTTGTTCACCTCCAGCAGCGCCGAGAACTTGAGGGCGTACAGGGTGAGGCGCCAGTCCCGGGTCAGGTATTTCACCTGTGCAGAGAGGGTGGAATCCCCATCGGTCTCCATCCCCCGCTCTCCACACCCTAAACCCACCCTTAGGGCAGGCTGTGACCCCAGCCAGTGCCCCCACGGCAATGTCCCCGACCTACGTGAGCAGCTTTGGGGTCTGCACAGTCCCCAGTGTCCCCCAGGCTCTGACAAGAACCACAACTTCCCCCTAAGCCACACCACCAGCGCTTCCCTGGGTTTTTTGGTGAAGGGATGAGCACTTCCAAAGCAGTCCAGGGAAGGCACGGGTAGAGGTGAATGCAGCCCTGGGGGTGTTTTGAGCCCTGCATCACCAGACACGGCAGCCAGGACCCACCTTCTTGAAGGATGTCAGCAGCTTGATGCTGACAAAGCCCATCTTGTTCTTCTGCACGTGCTTGAGGAGGAAGGTGTCCTTGGCCAGGTTCTCGTCGGACAGGTAGAACTCCACCTGGGCCACGATCCTGCGCACCAGCTGCGGGTCTGGGGCCGAGCAGCTGCAGTCCAGCAGAGCCACCCCCAGCTCGCAGGAGTTCCTGGCACAGCAGAGGGGACACGGGCGTGAGCTGGTCCCAGGCACTGTGGTGGGACAGCAGAGGCACCACGGGCACCAGGGCTGCCACCAGCCTTGCCCTGGGCACAGGGAACAGCCCCGTGAGCCTCCCAGGAGAGCCAGGCTGAATCAAACACGTCCCAGACACGGGATATGTCCCCTGAGGGCGAGCACATGTAAGGAGCAGGGCCCAGCCCCTCCCCACGTACCCGCTGTAGCTCTCCACGATGTCCTCCTGGCCGAGCAGGGCAAGGGAGCAGCTCCGTGGAGGAGGGACAGGCTGTGCCAGGAGGGAATTCCTCGGTGCAGGCACCGGAGTGCTGCAGCTGGGCTGGGAACTGAGCCCCAAGGCCGCTGCAGAGCCTCGTGCAGACATTGTCCTTCACCTGGGACAGCAGAAGGACAGCCCTGGGACACCCTGGCCACAGCAGCCCTGGGACAGAGCCCTGCTCTGGGCTGCAGCCCCCAAACCCAGCCCAGGGGCACTGGAGGAGGTCATTGCTGTGTCCTTACCTGCTTGGTAGCACTGGAAGGGTGAAAGTTCTAAGTTCTAGCAGTACATCCCAGACACCCCAAGGCAGTAACTCCCAAATTCCCCTCAGCTCCAAACTAAGGCTCCCAAAGCACAAAGGCAAAAAAAAAAAAAAAAAAAAAAAAAAAAAAAAAAAAAAAAAAAAAAAAAAAAAAAAAAAAAAAAAAAAAAAAAAAAAAAAAAAAAAAAAAAAAAAAAAAAAAAAAAAAAAAAAAAAAAAAAAAAAAAAAAAAAAAAAAAAAAAAAAAAAAAAAAGAAGAAAAAAAAAGAAAAAAGAAAGGAAAAGAAAATTAAAAAAAAGGAAAGAAAGAGAGAGAAAGCTCCTGGGGTGAGGGGGTGTGGGTTTATAAACACACCTTGAAGGAACTGCAGGGGTGGTTGTGGACCTGCCCCCAGACTGCCTGCTCCAGGTGAAACCTGTTTGTGGTTAAAGTGACCCAGCTGAGCCCTGGCTGAGCTGGGCTCCTCCTGCCTCAGCTGCAGAGCCAGGGAGAGGCAGGGTAGGGCCAGCAGAACCTGTCCCCTCTGGGACCCAGGGCAGCGGTGAATTGCAGCCATGAGCCCTCTCAGTCTGTGCCTCAGTGTCCCTGCCCTGTGCAGTGACAGCCACATGGAGGGGAGGGATTCTGTCCAGGGACTCCTTGGAGCTCTCAGTGCTGCCAGGGCAGCAGGGAAAGGCCCTTCTCCCTGCAGAAACATCCCCCAGGCCAGGGAGGGAGCAGGGCTGGGGGACAGGAGGACCCCTGGCTCCTTGGGGAAGGGTCTGGAATGAAACATCCCCATGGCCTGAGCCCCGTGCTGGGCAGCAGTGGGAAGGTGAGGACACAGAGGGCTGGGGACACTGAGCTGGGGACAATGCAGGGCAGAGGGAAACTGGAGCTGCCACTGAAGGGCTGATGCTGGGAGCCCACCTGAGCCTCTCCTGCCAGTGCAGGCAGGGGTTTGGCTGATGTTCCTGTACCCTGTGGCCACATGGACAGGCTGAGGGCTCCACTGGCACAAGAGGAGATGCTGTTTCAGACCAAATGATGGGAGAAGTTGCAAGCAAACAACAGAAGGTGGCTCTGGCCCCTGTTTTCAAATCTGTTTTTGTGTTGGTTCATTTTGAGAACTCCATCCCATTTCTCTTCACAAGTCCCCCTGTCCCAGAGGTGTGCTAGATGTAGGTGCCTGTCCTGACACTGTGGGGACAATCCAGGAGTGCCACACCATGAACCTAAAGCCATCCCAGCCACAGGACACATTCCTGAGGGGACAAACAGGGGGGTGAATCTGGGGCTCATCCCACCCTCCCATCCTGGCAGGATTGAAGCTCTCCAAGATGTCCCCAGATCAGCAGCACCTCCCAGGCTGGTGGCACTGCAGTGTCCCCTGCCCCTTGGGCTGCTCCCAAGGAATCCCTGGGCTGTGCCACCCTGCCCAGCTCCCAGGTTCTGGGATGAGCCCCAGGGACTGGCAATGTCCAGCTGCTTCTGGAATGTTGTCCCCCTGTGATTTCCCTGGGCTTGGTGTCAACCCTGGCCACCTGCCCTTCTCCTGCCGCCTCCTGGTGCTCTCTGCTGGTTGGGAAGAGGTGGAATACAAAATGCTGGGATGCTTGTGCTGAAATCCCTGAGGGATTTGCCCATCTGGGAGGGGTGATGGAGCCAGAGGCAGGCTGGGGGTGGGGTGTAGGTACTAACAGGAGGATTTGGAGCTGTGTTTGCTTTCTGCTTAGAGGCAGATTTTCTCAGGGTTAGGAGGTGCTGCCCAGCTCCCCTGGGGGAAATAATCTCCTGCTTCCAGACTCGAGATTCCCAATGGAAGAGGCTCTGTCTGGTCCAGCCAGACTGGGCTTAATCCAGAGGGAGAGTGAAGCAAAGGCCAGAGGCTGAACCTTCCTGAGGGGTCAGAGCAGGAATGCCCCAGCACTTGTCACATCCCTCCCCATCCTCACTGCTCCCATCCTCTCAATTAGTCTGGAAGCTTAATTAGAAAATCCTCCTGTGGCCCTGTGTCTGATCCATCAGCCTCTCCTCCCCTCTGAGGCTGTGACACACCAGCTGCTGCTCCAGGGGGAATCTGCCCTCCTGCACACCCCGGATCCCTGCCCCAAACTGCTTTAATTGCCCTGCCCTGGGCAGCTCCTGCATCCCCCCGAGGCTGCTGCAGCATCTCCAGGCACCTCTCAGGCCTCACAGAAGAAATGGGACCACGACACTCCTTGTGCAGGCCTGAGCATGGATACATGTTTATTGCTGTTCAGGTTTAGCTGGGAATTGTGTGCAGGGGGGTTTGGGTGCTTCTCCAGCCTCCTCACACGCTGCTGCAGAGCTCCAGAGCATCTCCTTTGCATGCTGGCTTCCCTCAGAGGAAGAGCTGAACTTCCTGTGGCCCTCAGTGGGAGCAGGGCACTTAAGATTTGGTTGCTCAGTTGTTTTTTCAGACTCTCTTATCTCATCAGCAAGATCCCAAGTGTGGACTCTGACCCGGGGAGTTTTCATGGTTATGTACATTTAAATCTGCCTCTCTCACTCTCTCCCTTCCATGGGAGACATTTACACACAAACACCACCCTGGCACAACAGCGTGGGACAGAGGGAAGATGTGCCACTGCACACACTCTCCTTTCACTTGCCATTAGGAAAGCGTCTGGAAGTGTCACAGCTGCCTTAGTGCCACTGGGAATGAGAAAATCAGAGACTTGGACAGAATATTCTCTGCTAGGCAAATGTGCACGAGACCCCTGGAAAAGCTCACACCAAACACTGCATCATTAGAAACCATAATAATAAAAGCTATTTATGACACGGCCTTTATTCACAGAGAGATTTGCCCCAGGGCTTTGTTTTTGCAGTTTAGCTTGATGACAGATCCCCCACTCTGCCCTGTAGCCCACAGCACCCCAGTGCAGTCCACAGCATCCCAGGGCAATCCACGTCAGCACAGACCCCCGGGACATGGGAAAGGGGGATAAACCCTGCTGAGCTCCCCCAGCTCAGCCCCACGGGAGCCTCCCCCGCACTGCCACCGCAGGAACAGGCAAAGGGATCCAGACAGGGAAATGCCACTGGAGAGCTGAGCCCCCCGGTCTGTGCCAGCCCCTCCCTACCTGGGGTGGGCTGCTGGGCCAGTCTGAGCTGAGCTGGGCCAGTCTGAGCTGAGCTGGGCCAGTCTGAGCTGAGCTGGGCCAGTCTGAGCTGTGCTGGGCCAGTCTGAGCAGTGCTGGGCCAGTCTGAGCTGTGCTGGGCCAGTCTGAGCTGTGCTGGGCCAGTCTGAGCTCTGATGGGCCAGTCTGAGCTGAGCTGGGCCAGTCTGAGCTCTGATGGGCCAGTCTGAGCTCTGCTGGGCCAGTCTGAGCTCTGCTGGGCCACCCCGAGCAGGGGAAATGGGAACAAGGCCCACCCTAAGGCACAGTGGTCACACACCCTCGCCCCTGCTCCGTCTGGGCAGGACATGGAGTGGGAATTTCACAAACCCCAGGATGTGGGACCAGTTCCTGTCTGCCTGGGCACCGTGGAGGATGGGGATTGCCATGGGACTGCCATGGGACTGCCATGGGATTGCCATGGGACTGCCATGGGATTGCCATGGGATTGCCATGGGATTGCCATGGGATTGCCCCCAGGCATTGTGGCACGGGGGACAATGAACAGGTTCTGCCTCCAGCTGTCACTGCCTCGGAGTCCTTTGGTATCTTGAGTCAGCCCGACGGCGTCCCAGGAGCATTGGGGTGAAGTGCTGAGCTGGGCAGACACGGGAGCAGGTGGGAATGCTCATCCCATAGTCCCAGAGCACGCCTGTGCCCACTGGGATGGGCAGCCTGGAGCCTCTCCCCAGGGACAGGAGACACCAATGGCCCTGCGCTCCCTGGGACGAGAGATTTGGCAAAGCCAGAGCCGGGACAGCTTGTCTGGAAGGGCTGGAGGAGAAGGGCCGGGGATTTTTCCTTCTTCTTGGGCACTGATTGGTTCAAGTTTGTATCACAGTGAAGTCTGAGACGTGGGGAAGGAACCCAAAGCACCTTCCCTGTCGGAGAAGCCTCCTGTGTGCGCCTCGCTCCGGCCTGAGAGCGAGCACAGCTTCTCCCAGCCAGGCACATCCCACCTGCTGCTGACCACAGAGCTTCCATCCCTTGGGAGCAGATGCAGCTTCTCCCTCCACTCTGGGGGGACACTGGTGGCCAAACCAGCCCCGTCCCAGCGCCTGCCCCGGCTCAGCCCATCCTCACACACAAGTAAACATAAAGAGAAACTAAGAGGCACTATAATAACGCAGATCCGGGGAGGCGCAGGCTCGGCACACCCAGCCAGGCTCCGGATGGCTGTCCCGGTGTCAGATGTCCTGCAGGGAGTGGCCGGGCTCGCTGCGCTCCCGTTTCACCAGCGGCTCCCCCAGCGCCCGCTCCGGCTCCGCCTCGGTGCCCAGCTCGCCGATGTCATCTGCAAAGGACACGGCTCAGAGCAGGAGCCACCCCGAGCTGCTGCCCAGCACAGCCGGCACCGGGCTCCCCCTCCCGCAGCCATCCCACCCTGCCCTGAGAGCCCCCGGCAGGGACGGGAGGTACCTTTGTCCAGCAGTGTCGGGGACAGGGATGTGAGGTCACCAAACTGAAAGGAAAAGGAGTCGGGGGTCAGTGAGGCTCTGGGGGAGCCAAGGTGCCAGACCAAACAATTCCCATCACCTGTGAGCATCAGTGCTGGTGGTGGAGAGCAGAAGCCAAAACCAACCACAGGTTTTGGGGGGAAAAGCCTTTTGTTGCCATTCACACGTCTGGGCAAACACCACACACACCAATCCAGGGCAGGATTTAGCTCTGGAATGAAGGGAGAAATTTTTCCATCTTCCAAGTGATGACCAAGTGCTACCACAGGCAAAAGTGGTGCCTATTCTCCAGCCCTTTCCACCTCCCAGGCATTTGCCTTCTCCTCTCCACCCTGAGCTCTCTGCAAAGCCTTTGCAGGGCTGGCAGGGTTTGGCCAGCGTGGTGCCAAGCAGAACCAGAGAGCTCCTTGGCTCTGCAGATGTGCTGTCCCCTCTCAGTGACGGGCTCTGAGACACCAAACTGCTGCAACAGCAACGCTGAAAAGTCATGGAAAGCTGGGCAGCAGCAGGAGCTGAGGAGAGGGAATTGCAAAATTCAGTGGGAATGGAAAGACACGATTCATTCTTTGCTGGGAAGAATCAGCCTCCTCCTGGAGAACAGGAATATTGCAAGGGTTTAATGAAGGGAAAGCCTGAGGGATGAGAGCCTCCCCCAGCTGGCTTTTGCTGGGAGCCGGTCTCTGCCTTTCATGTTCCTTAAATATCAATAAAGGCAGAACCAACAGGCTTTGGTTGGCCTGGCTCCCTACATGAGCTCTGTGGAAGCTTCGAGGAGCAAATGAGATCAGTTTTCAGCACATGGGCTCAGTTTTAAACTCACAGTAGTTTCAATATTGCTGTCACAGGCTCATCTGGGGTTTTTAACTGTATTTCAGAGGGAAAAACTGGATGTGGCTTCAGCTAGGCAGGACAGGACCTGCCTGCAAGCCAGGTACCAGACTTAATGATTGGTGAACAAAAAAAAACCCTAAACCTTCACAAACAGCCCAGACAGCCCCATCATCCTTTTCTTCATCTCAAAAACAGAGAGAGTGGCTGACTGTGCATGTAATGCTGGAGCTTCTAGAGGCCTGGAGAAGTTCAGCTGCTGAAAGCATCTTTTGGATCATTTTTGCTTGGTTTAGATGGACTTTGCCTTGTCAGGAATCCCAAAGTCAGGGCTGGCAGTCACAGGTGCTGCAGAAAAGTGGGGAGATCCTTCCCCTCCCTCCTCCACACCTCCAAAGCCCAAATGATGCTCAACCACCCCAAACCCCAAACCCACCAGCTCAGAGAAGATGCTCCAGGAGCTCTCCTTGTGCCAGGCACTCAAAACAACTCAGCAAATAATTTTTATTGTAAAACGAGCCGAGGGCACGGTGTGGTTTTTGAACCAGCGGTGTCTCTTGAGGAGCTGCTTATTTTGGGTTGGTTTGTAGGGAATAAAGGATTCTCACCTCTCCCATGACTGCAATTGGGGTCTCCCCCGTGGCCTGGGCCACACGATGCTCCACCAGGTAGAACATGTACTCATCATAGAGCAGGCGGATCAGGTGGAAGGAGCCAAAGCTGGCGGCGCTGCGCAGGGTGAGGTCACGGATCACCATGGAGCTGAAACATGGACAGGAAGCAGAAATTTTGGGTTGAGTTTTACACCTGTGCCATGGCTGATGTGAATTCTGGACCCTGGAGGTACTATGGGACCCAACACTGTGTCTGCCTCTGACCCACAAGTATCAAAACACGTTAAGAAATCAGTTTATGGAGCATCCTATCCCCTTCCTGAAAGGATACCAGAACCACAATTAACCAGAGTTTCATGGGAATAAAGAACTTGGCCTTGGCTTTTCAAGGAGCTCTTTCCATGCCCCAAGCCTGACACAGAAATACCCCCAAAATAAGGAAAATGTACCTGTAGAAGGACCACTTCAACAGGAACTGCCTGGCTGCCTTGGGGAAGCTGGGGCTGCCCTCATGATGCTTCAACACTTGAGTGACAACATTGTCCAGCCAGCTGGCCCACTGATCCAGAGAGCTCTGCTGCTGCAAAGTCAGCTTGAAATCCTGCTCCAGCTTCTGCACCATGCCCTCCTCACACTGGCACACCCACGAGGCCTGCTCCTGCTCGGGAGGAAGGGCTCACAGTTACTCATTCCCTGCTCCTGCTCGGGAGGAAGGGCTCACAGTTACTCATTCCCTGCTCCTGCTCGGGAGGAAGGGCTCACAGTTACTCATTCCCTGCTCCTGCTCGGGAGGAAGGGCTCACAGTTACTCATTCCCTGCTCCTGCTCGGGAGGAAGGGCTCACAGTTACTCATTCCCTGCTCCTGCTCGGGAGGAAGGGCTCACAGTTACTCATTCCCTGCTCCTGCTCGGGAGGAAGGGCTCACAGTTACTCATGCCAGGCCTGCACGGTGCTGTATCCCAACCCAGGAATTAATTTCTAGCAGGCAAGGGCTGCAAACCAGCTCTGATTCATGGCCCCTCTGATCTGTCTGGACCACAGTAATTTTAGAGCTACATCATTGTTGGTAGCGCTTTATTCTTCACTGGAAAAGCGGTAAAGCATTGGAATGGGGTGCCCAGGGAAGTGGTGGAGTCACCACTCCTGGAAGTGTTCAAAAAATGAGTGGAGGCCATGGTTTAGTGGGCATGGTGGGGTTCTGGATGGTCCTGGAGGTCCTTTCCAGCCTGAATGATCTGTGAGTTTTACAGAAGCTCCTTTTCCACTGCTCACAGCGAGGTGGAAGATTTACCCGGTAAAGTAACACCAAACCCATCGCCTTGTTCATTCAGCTGGGCTCCAGCACCGGGAACCGAGCACTGGTTTCAGGCAGAGAACCTGGCTGTGGAGCCCCTCTGGTGGAGCAGGAGAGGAGGAGAGGAGCCCGTGGGTTACCTGCACGTTGGCGAAGTCCACGCGGTTGAGGTCGCTGAGCATCTGGTTGATCTGGGACGTGTTCTGCAGCACGGCGCGCGCCGCCTGCGCCAGGTGGTTGAGGGACGTGTACCTGCGCAGGGTCTGGGCAAAGGCACTCACCACCCCCACCTGCAACACAGCAGTGGGGCTGCAGGGCATGCTCTGCTCCCTGGCCAGCCCCACACGCACCAGCACGGGCAGCGCTGCAGCCACCGGCCCTGCAAGCGTTCAAAACACGCTTGGGACGCGCTTCAGCGGTGGCCTGGGCGGTCCTGGGGGAGTGGTCGGACTCAAATCATCTTAAAGGTCATTCCCAACCTAATCCTTGTGCCAGGCACTCGGAACAACTCGGTCAGCCCTTGGGCACAGGTGGTTGTAAAACACGTTGAGGGCGCAGTGTGGTTTGTGAAGCAGTGGTGTCGCTTTGGGTGCTGCTCGGTTTGGGTTGGTTTGGAGGGAATAAAGGATTTTGACCTCTCCCATCACCTCTCCCTGGTTGTCTGGGCCACACAATGCTCCACCAGGTACAACATACACTCATCATAAAGCAGTGGAAGGACCCAAACCTAAATAATTCTACCGTTCCATTATTTATTGTCTTTAGGCTATCAGGTTTTCACGCTCTGCCTCCAGCAGAGACCAGCAAGGTGGGAAGAGGCAGCAAGAATCCCTGGCTTTAGGTCAGCAGGAGCCTTGGGGCAATGCCACTCACTCCTGTGCTTTCCAGGAGGACAGTCCAAGGCTGAGATAACAGGGAATGGTCCCTGGAGCACTCCAGAGCTCCAGGAGCGTTTGGACAGCGCTCTCAGGGATGCTAAGGGTGGGATTGTTGGGGGGTCTGGGCAGGGCCAGGGGCTGGTGATGACCCCTGTGGGTCCCTTCCCACTCAGGACATTCTGTGGCTCTGTGATTTTCTCCCACCTAGCTTTATCTGCAATTTCAGGACACAGGAATGGCTCCACCATCAGCTTCTGGTACAAAGGAATTGCCCCACCTGTCCTCCCACTCCCGGCTGGTTTTGGTTCAGAATCAATCATTGCACCGTGCCAGGTGGCCAAACCCCAGCAGGAATTTCCAATCCCTGTGGAAAACTGCAAGATGGAGACACACTCTGGGCCCACCTCTGCTCACCTTGGTCTGCACGACCTGTGGGGGGAATTCACTCATGGCATTCATCAGCCACCCTTCCAGACTCTTGGCAAAGTTCCGGATCGCCTGGGTCAGCGTGCCTGCAAAGAAGGCTGCACAGTCAGAAAGGCTGATCTGTAGCATTTTGGGGCACCACTTTCTAGCTTAGGATAGCCCAGCCCGTGGTCTGGTTAGCTGAGATGTCAACTCAGCACCAAGGAAATCAGCAGGGTTGATGCACTCCAATTATTCTTTGATGTTATTACTCAAACTCTTATTATTAATTTTCCTTTTCATTTTTCTTTTTCATTTTTTCTTATTCTTACTCTTTCTCTTATCATTACTTTTATGACAAATGGACTTAATGATCTTAGAGGTATTTTCCAACCTAAACATTTCTATGTTTTTTTTATTATTCTTACTTTCTTTTCTCCTTTTCTTATTCATGGCCCTTCTGAGCATTTTCCAAGCATTAAAATTTGCTCTTCAAAGACACCCTTGCGTCCCAGCTTGTGACAGCCCTTAGAGGGACATTTGGGAATCCAAATCAGAGAGAAAACCCTCAATACCCCATCATTAATCTCCCAAAAAAGCTGACTCCTAATTTCCAGGAGTGCAGTCAGGGACAGGACCTGTTCAAACAAAGACACCCAAGGAACCACATCCCAAAGAGCTCCCATATCCAAACTGTGCTTTTTGCCTGATTCCTGGCCAAAATCAGATGTGATATAAAACACACCCCATTTAAAAGGGAGAGGAATTCCCAGGGGGTAAAATGCTGCAGGGGGAACTCTGCTCTTGTCATTGTATTTGAGACAAACACCTCCAAGTGGGCTTTTACAGTGGAAATTTTCATGGTAGCCAGAGTGAGATGGGACTCAGGTCCCTGGTGGGGCTGTGGGTACTCACTGGGCACTGGCCTGAGCACGTCAGGGATGAGGATCTCCACCAGGGCCTGGTACAGGATGTGGTCACAGCTCCTCATCCACTTGAGGATGGGCTCGTACTTGCACAGGGTGATCAGTTTGTCCTTTGGGAGAGTCCCTTCAGGTTCCTCTTCACTGCAGGAGAAGGAGGGGGAAGGAGACAGAGTTAGCAGCAGGTTTGCATTCAGTGCTTTCCCCTTCCCTCTGCATTTCTAACTCAAATTTTCAGCAGAAGAAAGATGCTTGTGTGCCTTGCAAAAGGAAATGTTTGACTGCTCGTGCAGGTTTTGTCCCTGCCAGCACCTCCCTGTCCTCGGGGCCAGAGCTCAGAGCAGTTTTCCCTCAAATCCACACTCTTGGTGCTTGGCCTGCCTTCCCCTCTTCCCTTTTTAACTTCACTGCCTCTCACACCCCCTGCTCGTGTGGGAACTGAGCTCCAGCACAGTCACTGCAGCCAGCAAAGGCTCAGCTGGCTCCTCCTCACAGCCCCAGCTCTTCCCAAAACCTTCCCACCTCTCTCCTCTGCTCTCACCCTCCTGAGCCCTGGGGACGAAAACCTTGCAGTCAGTGTAGGGACAGATTAGCTGATATCGAGATGTTTTCAAGGTGTTTAACACCTTGAAAATGCTGAATGTTTTCAGAGGAAGGAGACTGAATGTTTGGATTGAATTTGTGGATGTATAAAGGCACAAGAAAGAGCAGAAACCTGAGTGCACTGCCAGAGCATCACAGCAGAGCTGCTCACCCACACATTATGCTGGGAACTGGGAATTTGGAAGGGTCTTTCCCCATGCATTGCATCAAAATCAGTAAAGCCAAGCCTTGCACATGCTCTAAAGGGGAGCTTTGAGCCTCAGCCTGCAGCCTTTTAGTGCTGAGCTCCATGGGCATAACTCCTGGAGAATCCCACAAGGAAAAACAGGTCATGAAACTTGTGAAGTGCATCCATGTTCTGCATCTTCTCACACTTCCAGTGTGCCACTTCCTAATATTTGGGGTTTATATTTATATGTTGATATAAAGAAGGGGCAGGAGTGTGTCATTTACCTCTCTGGGTTACTGGCAGGGGTGGGAGAAGTGGGAGAGCCCTGCAGAAAAGCTGCCTCCAGATTCCCCTGTGTACCTAGAAACAGCTCCTGGGGTGTTGCAATCTGCCTGGGAGCTGTTCCCTCAAGAAAATGAGATTTTTAAACCAAGCAAACACAGCTGCAGTGATTTCTTGCAGGAAAATATCCCCTGGGCAACATCTACAGGACCATATTCTACAGATTTTTGAGGGATTTTTGTCTATTACTCAATGTTTTACCATTTTTCTTCTGAATTGAAAACCTTTGTCTTTATAGCATCAGTAAGAGTGGACAGATTTGTGACAGAAATTTTAAGAAGAAACCTTCACTTTTTCAATTTTCACTGTTTTCACTTATTTCCATTTCCCCTGGCAGCAGCTCCCAGTGCATAAAGGATGAGGAAGAGGCACAGCAACGAGCCAGGCAGGAGTGAGAGATTAAAGCAGCTTGGTTTGCAATGGTCTGCCTCAAAACATGAGGCACTGGCAGGTCTGGGCAGCCAGGCAAGGCAGAGAGTCAGTCTGGATATCCCTAAAACCTCAGAGAATCCCTAAAATCGGAGCCAGAGGATGGCACTGATTCCTGGCAGGGCATCACCACCCTCTGAGCCCTTGGGAGAGCAGGATCCCCTTCTGTGCTGCAGGAGGTGCAAGGGACACGGATGTCCAGGTTCAGGATGAGAGGAAACAGCCCCAAATCTCCCCAGGGGATGGTTTAGATTGGATATGAGGGAAGATTTCTTCACTGCACAGCCTGGTCAGGCATTGGACCAGGCTGTGCAGGACAGTGGTGGTGTCACCATCCCTGGAAGTGTCTAAAAACGTGTGGATGTGGCATTTGGGGCCGTGGTTGTGTGGTGACCACGGCAGTGCTGGGCTGATGGATGGACTCGATCATCTTGGAGGGCTTTTCCAACCTCAGTGACCCCACAGCTCTCTCATCAGAGCAGACACTGAGCTCTGAACTTTGCTTTCCAGTATTAAACACTTCCAACACTCTTTGTCACGGCTCTGCAGGGCAGAAAATCCTCCCAAATCCTCCAGATCACTCAAAAAGCCTAAAAACACCTCATGCACCTTCAAAAGAGATCTGCAGGCAGTGGAGAGGGAAGGCTGGGGAGTACCTGGAAGGCAGAGCAGTGGGGCCATCACTAGGGGGTGCCTTGGGACTCCAGAAGGATTGCCACAGCTTCTCGATGTAGTGAAACTGGAGGTGCATCACGACATCCAGAGTGGCCTGACAGCAGAGAACACCACGGGCTCAGCGCTCAGCTCGAGTGCTGCCACTCACAGGAAATAATTTACATGAAAAACAACGGAATTGGCACTGTTTTAGTAACCAACTGAACATGAAACAGGTCACACAGTGAAAAAAAAATCGATATTTGAGTTGTAATTCCTGGCAAATGAAGCGTTCCTGATTATATTCCAGTTTTTCCTAAGAGTGGGATATGAGCTGGCCACGTGAGTGATGCCCCACGTCAGGCAATAAATCAATTTCAATAATAATAATAATAATAAATCAACAAATAATCACCAAAGAATATTGCAAACAAGCACCTCACAGTGTCTCCTGTAGAGAACCTGCAGAGTTTTCACGTCGTTCAAGGTGAAACCTTCTTGTAAGAGGACGTTACCGAGATCAGGGGCTGGGAACTCGGGAAAGACATGGGTTACATCTGGGAAAAGAAATTGGGAAAGATGGAGAGGGTTAGGAAAGCCCAGAGTACAGGTGAGCACAAGGTGCTGCTCTCACTGGAGGCTCTTTTATGTTCCAGCTGGGATGAGACAGGAAAAGTGAGATAATTTAGTCCTTTCCCTGATTTGTGCTGTTACACTGAGAAAAAACAACCACAGCCCAATGGATTCAGTGGGGGAAGTAAAATGTTTCCTTTCTGTTTGTAATAAAAGAAACAAGAAAACATTATCCTCATCTACCATCCATTTGAATTTTCCTGAAGCCTGGAAAATGTCTCTCTGGCATCTAAGGGGAATAGAATTGGGCAGCAGAGGTGTCAGGAGCTGGGATTTGTGATGGAGACACAGACCCAGTGGGTCTGTTCCACAAGGAAAAGGTCAACAGGGATCATCTCCACTCAGATCCTCACTGCAGCCTTTGCAAAGAAGGGAATCTCTGTCCCCACTCTGGGCAGGACCTCCACTCTTCCATGGAATTTAGATAAAACCAGATGGATTAAAAACATACCATGAGGGACCCAACAAACCCATGGGCTCAAGGAAAATGCCTTCCTGGGGAGTCAGCAGATAAACTCAGCAAGTGTGACACTACAAAAACCTATACAACACATACTATATATAAAATATATAGATATAAAAAATTTAAATGCTGTAGCTTTATTAGGAAAGCAAACAAATTCACAACAGTCAGGACTTGCTGGATCAAACCTTCCCCTTAAAGGCCAAATCCCAGATGTGGAATAACTCATCAGCAAAGGAGTCTCCTCACCTATGAACTGCTGGTGGTGCTGGCTCTGAGCAGCCACTGACTGCTCAGGGGTGGTGTGGGGGTTGCTGTTGGATGCACTCTCTGCCATCCCATCCATCTTCTGGGCTGCTCTGTACCTAAATTCCAGCAGAATTATGATGGGTGAGAGTCCACACAGACAGGAGAAAACACCTTACACAGACACATTTACATTTACTTATTTACAGCACAGATCTGTGAGTTTGTGGGGTGTTTGGTACATGTTCGAGGCAAATGTGTTGAGGGCTGATCATTTATATTGTGGACTCAAATGGAGGGGAAATGAGAAGCTCCTTTTGAAAAGCTTCCCCAGGAATGAATTAAAGGGGCTAAGAAGTTTGGTGATGCCAAAAAATCAAAAAAGAGAAGCAGAGCTGCAGTGGGCTCTAGAGCAGACTCTGTCTCAAGCACTGACTTGTGCATTTACTTTCTGTTTGGGAGCTGAAGAAATAAATTCTGCTCCTTCTGCACTTCAGCAAGAACCAGAAGTGTCCATGCTTGCAGGAGGCAATTCCAAATCCCTTTCCACACTGGGTTTTATCTGTAAAATTACTCAGCCACATTTAACACCATTTAACTTGCACTTTTGCACAGGAAAACATCCAAAACCCCCAAATCCACCCAAATCCAGCACAAGCTTCCAGGTCCTTCACATTGATTTGGCACCAGCATCTCCACAGCTGAGATCCTAAACCATTTTGGCTACAGGGAGGCCGTGAAAGGTGGCACACAGGGTGGGACACGGCACTGGCAAGGAGAATAGGCAGATAAATCCCTTTCCATGGAATTCCAGGAGAGTTTGGGTAGGAAAAGTCTTTTAAAGACCATTTGGTCCCTGCAGTGAGCAGGGAAATCTTCCACCAAAACAGCTTGCTCCAAATCTCATCCAACTTGGCCGTGGATGTTTCCAGGGATGGGGCATTACCTGGGATAGCTTTTGGACCTTTCCACAGCTCTGGCTTGAGCTTCCCACGCGGAGCCAAATCCCAGGGACCTGCTGAGGATTTTGAGAAGGGCCTGGGAGCACCTACCTCTGCTTCTGGTGGATGGGCTGCTGCCTCATGGCCATGTACTGGGTGTCCTCCTGCAGGCGGTTCAGCGGCGACTCCGGCTTCAGGCGGATCCCGTAGTAGTGATATTTGGAATTTCCCCTGGAAATACCAACTGAAGTTGGTGCAAGGGGCATTGTGGCCTTGGGTGCTTGGACAATCCACCCCATTTCGTGCAACACACGGCTGCCAAGCGCTGTTGGAGTGGCTGAAGGGATGAACTAATGAATTGCCATCATCTCCTAGGAAATTTAAACCCACATCTGGCCAACTGCAGCAGAATCCACGCTTAAACCTGGCCAGGTTTGCTCCAAGCAGCCCGTGGTGACTGGGGAAGAGGGGAGGGAAATGCTACAATACAAAGTGTTGATCAACAGAGTGACTGAAAGAGCACAGGGCACACATTGCTGTTTGATTAGGGTTTAGGGATTTGTTTTTTTCAATAAAAACGAGCCTCCATCTTTATCTAGACTTGGATAAAACGAGCCTGACTGAATGGCCCACTAGGAAAAGAAAAATGTCTTTGAGTTGCCAGCACTTCTGCAGCAGCAGCACCAGGCTTTGATGTGGTTTTGTCCTTGGAACTGCTGGTTTTTGCAGGTTTTGTAAAAACTGAAAGCACTCTCCAAGCACAGGGGGCTGGAATTCTTTCTCCTTTGCTGCTGTGGTGCTCCTTGGGGGGATGTGATCCCACCACATTGGAGAGAGATGTGTCAGCTGGAGTTTTTCCACCAAACTGGAATTTTTTGGTCCCAGTGGGAGCGAGGACAGTTCTGCAGCCATGGACACGTGGTGACAGTGTGTCCACCCTGGCTTTGGCCCATTTGTCACCATAAATGGGTGAATTGAGTCCTCAGAGGGAGAAGAGACCAAGCCAGGGGAGCACCAACAGCACCTCCAGAGCACAGAGTAGGGAAGCTTTAATCTCCTTTTCTGTGTCACTAAAACTGGGACTGGAGGCACCTCAAATCCAAGGATGCTTCCCATTGGAAAATTAGAGAAATATAAAAGAGGAGGATTTATCAAATTGGGTTCTTTTTTGGGGAGAATTTGCTCTTTTCAAGGGCCCAGTTGAATTTTTGGGTCTTTGTTACTGCACCAAAAGGTTTTTCACACACCCCATGTTCAGCCCTAAGTGATTTAAGTTTTTGCAAATTAAATAACAGCTGCCTTTATAACCTAAAATTAAAATGAGTAAGAAAATAATGGGGGCCAACTCTTTATCAATTGAGCTTCACTGTCCCCTTCCCAGCCTGCACAATTCCAATTTTCAGTGCAGGTTTCTTTTTTGCTCACTTGTTTATTCTTTAATCCTTGATGGGATTAAAGAATTTCTCTCCTCCAAGGAAATTACTTCAGAACTCTTGCATTTGATCCAATCTAGAGAAATCCAGTGCTCCCCTGCTCTTCCTATGACTGTTACCTCCACACTCCAGCTGTGGAATGCCCTGGTCACATCTGGTTTTGTTCTCATTTAAAAGCCCAGATATTTAAGCTTGAATTTTATTATAAAATCATCAACAATCAGAGCAATTGATTAATATAATAATATATTAATAATATATTAATAATAATAATATACTGCCAGTTTTACAGGCAATATATTAGCCAATTTTTAAATATCATAGGCTGGGACAAAGTTCACACTCAGCTGTGAAGAAGCTTTGGATGCTCCCTTGAAGGACACAGCTGAAATTACAGGAGTTTATTTTTAAGTTACACTTTTCTGGTAACATCTTACAGATTTTTGACAGATTAGGAGAAAAAAACCCTCTTGCAAGATTCAGCTTGATGCTTTGGGTATTTCAGAAATAAATAATTTTTAACTTTACACCTTGTCTGCACCAAAGCTGTGGGCACAGGGTCTGTCATGGGGGATCTTTACTGGGACCAAAGGGAGAAACGGCTTCAGTGACCCAGAATTTTGGGCTCTGCAGTGGAAATTGTGAGGATGAGTTACCTCATCTTTGTCAGGCAGTACAGAATCTCAGGATATCCTGAGCTGGATCCCTCAGGGATGATCAGTGCAGCCCCTGGCCCTGCCCAGACCCCCCAACAAGCCCACCCTGAGCATCCCTGAGAGCGCTGTCCAAACGCTCCTGGAGCTCTGGCAGCCTTGGGGCCGGGCCCATTCCCTGGGGAGCCTGGGCAGTGCCAGCAGCCTCGGGGGGAAGAACCTTGCCCTGAGATCCATCCCAAGCCCTGGCACAGCTCCAGCTGTTCCCTGGGCTAATGGCATCCTCATGGGATGAGATATGGCTTCACATAAAACACATTTTCCCAGCGCATCAGGACCGGTTGTTTCCGAAGAGAGACCTGAGCCTTCTAAAGATGCTCGGGAGGTTCTGAGTGCAGCAGAGACGCTGCAGGAGGGCTGATTTTTGTTTGTTTAACTGCGGATTCCCACCAACCTGGTGCCCAGGCGCCGAGTCCTCAGCCCCATGAAGACGGAGCGGATGAGCTTCCCGAAGGACGCGGCGTTGACGGGGTCCAGTTTGTGCTCCTGGCAGTGCCGCAGGTAATGGTTGTACAGGGAGCTCCGGGGCAGGCTCACACCTTCTGCTGTCTCGTAGTTATCCAGCAGCCACTGCAGCTTCAGGCAGGGAAAATAAAGAACATGCAAGTCTAAAGAGGGCCGGCATGTCAGGCGGGGTCGGCGCTTAAACATCCGGATGGAGAAGTTGGACAGAACTGAATAATTAATTTATATGAGTTAATTCACGTTAATTTATAATTTGTATAACTTTATGTTAGTTTATAGGATGGCAAAAGCATCCCCAGCCCAAAGAAAACCTGACAGGTTTTTCATTAAAAATCCTGCTGCCACCTCAGTGTCCACCTCGGGTTTGGATGAATTCCTGCAGAGCCAAAATAAAGCTGTAAAAACCTCACATTTTCCAAGGAAAAGAGATCTTGAGATATTGCCTAAGAGAAATAAATTTTAGGGGAAGCAAATTGATGCAAAGCCTTTATTAATTGGAAGATTGGCATGTCTGCAACAGCTCCCTTAACAATAAAATTAACGGTTGCCAAAGCAACCTTCAAATTCTGAGGGAATCCATCTACTTTGCAAAATTTACTGTCTGAACTTATGACATGGCTGTTGATTAAAATTTGCAATTAATATAAATTATTTATACCGAGATAATCAGAAAGGGCAGGTCCAGCACACGGTGTCAGCACAGGAATTAAAATGCAAAGCCCCCAATCTCCTTTAATTGACTAAATGACTTCAGCATCAGTAAAACGAGGGTTGTAATAATTGAATTTTGGAAGGAACTGGATGTACACATGGACTAATATCAACAGGGTGGTTAAGAACCCTTTCACTGTCATGAGGGATGTCTGGGATTAACATTTTCCAGGCTCCCCTCTCCCTCCAGATCTCCATCCCTGCACCAGGACCAGCTGAATTCCCGGCAGATCAGGGCAAAACAGACTTGGGCTGCGGATGCCAAATATCAGCCACAGCATCTCCATAAATCAGAGTCCAAGCACATGTGGGAACTGAGCATGGATTCAGTCTGGAAGTCAGTGTGAGTTGATAAAGGCCGTGGATCTGCACTCAGACCCTCTCCACTCCCACCCCAGTTCCCTCTCTTTTCTCCCATTTTCTCTTGGTGACACTCCAAGGTCCCAATTCACCACAAGGCTGGAGTTTTACCTCAATAATTCTTTGAAAGACGACCTGAGCTGTGTGATGCCATCTCTGGTAGCTCGCTCCACTGAGCTCTTTTCAGTTTCTGTGTTTCATATCTCACTCTGCTCTCACACAGAGGCTTTGCAGCACCCTCAGTGTGTGTTCTGTGGGTCTCCTTCACACATCCAAATTTAAACTGCTGCTACACAAAGTCAGCTGCATCCAAAACCGTGCACTTTAAGCTCTACAGTTAAAACTATTCCATTCAGCCTGGAGAAGAGAAGGCTCCAGGGAGAGCTCAGAGCCCCTTGCAGGGCCTAAAGGGGCTCCAGGAGAGCTGGAGAGGGACTGGGGACAAGGCCTGGAGGGACAGGACACAGGGAATGGCTCCCACTGCCAGAGGGCAGGGCTGGATGGGATATTGGGCAGGAATTGTTGGCTGGGAGGGTGGGCAGGCCCTGGCACAGGGTGCCCAGAGCAGCTGTGGCTGTCCCTGGATCCCTGGCAGTGCCCAAGGCCAGGCTGGACGGGGCTTGGAGCAGCCTGGGATGGTGGAAGGTGTCCCTGCCATGGCAGGAGTGGAACAGGATGAGCTTTAAGGTCCCTTCCAACCCAAACCATTCCATGATTTGTTGGCTGGAGCTGATCCAAATCCAAGCACAAATTCCCATGACTGCACCCCTCAGCTCTGGTGGCCTTTGGAGCTGACCAGGCGCTGCCACAGCTGGAAGAAAGAAAATCCTCCCGGACACTTTTCCCTCTGTCCCGCTTTTCAGGAGCCTCCTTTCCTCCTCCCACCTTCCCCCAGTTCCACGACACCCAAGACACACTTTGATCTCCCACAAAGATCATTTTCCAAACCCCAAGAGATGGTTTGTTAATGATCCATAACAATCCTTCCTGCTCCCATCTGCAGCACAGACACCCCTGGAAGCCCCAAAAGGTTTTTTTGTGGCCCTGAGCCTCCCTCAGCCATTCAGTTCCCTCTAACCCCAGTGGTTTTGCCATAAAACACCAGCAGGAATTCAGTTTTTAAGTTGTCCACATTTATGTTAATTTTGGCCCATCCCCTGTATTTAAAAGATTATTGCTTAAGATCCTTTCAAATTTTTAAACCAGGTATTTTATTTATCCTATGGAAGATACTGAATGTGCATCAAGTATTTATCTCCTAAATCTTAAGCCTTAAGCCTTAAAACAAAATAAAAGTTTTGAATTACTATGGAAAATTCAGATACAGATAAACCCTCTCTCATTTAAATTTGATCCTGGGCATTTTTATTCTAATCCCTGATATTTCTAGAAGATTCCCTTCATCTCCCAGATTCCTTTTCCTGCAAATGTCTTTTTATATTCCCTTAAACATTGCAGAGTTTCACAATATGAACTCCCACTATTGAATTAGAAATTTATTATGAAGCACACAAAAGAGCATGAAACAGAGATCTGTCAGAATATAAATAATTCCAAACGTGATTTTTTGCTCTTCCTTCAGAACTAATAACACATTGGGCACTTAAAATGAGAAAATTAAAAACTTTTTCCATTTGAATCTCTTACTCTGTTTGCTGTCTGAATTTTGTTCAGTTGTGACAATCAGATATTCCCCAGTTTATTTCTGTTTATGCCACGATCAGGTTCCAATAAAATCACTCTACAGCCAGATGCTGCTGTGGTTGTTGTAGGCAATACAGGGGAACATTTAATTTTCATTTCTTCCTTAACTTTATTTCTACCTGACTGTTTGGTTTCCTTTGAAAAAAACCACTCTGGCAAAAACCTCATTCTGGTTCTATCCAAGGGTAGAGAAAGCCACTCTTGGGGCTGGCTGAGAAAATAAAAAAACTTTTTTTTTTTTTTAAGGTCCAAATTTGGAGAAGTTTCCTTGTGGGTGCTTCTATGAAATATAAAATAGAGTTTTTTGACCCACTTGTGGGTCGTATTTAAGGTGTATTTTAGCTGGGACCATGAGCAGCAGGTTCCTAAATTTCCACTCAGTCAAGCTCAGAGTCAGGACAGAGCCATTCACTCACAGGAAAGAATTCCAGGGGGGTTTATTTTGTGTCTTTTGGTATTTCATTTTGCAGACAATGAGGAAAAATCACATTTTCTCCCTACTCCCACTTGTGCTGTTGATATCCCAGAGCCACAGGGCCTCAGGCATCCAACTCCTCCAACTTCAGGCTGTTGTGTACAAAAGTCACAGTTAATTTTCTCTGAATTCTTTGCATCATCTGCAAACTCACAACTGGCAAAGAAATAATCCCCTGCCCCAGGGTCTCTGCCACACATTGACTTCATCAGAGCCATCCTGTGTCACTGGGGCTCAGCAGGAGCTGCACCTGCCCCACTGCATATTTCAAGCACACTTAAATAACCTCTCAGGGAGGTTTTGAAGCCAAATTCAGTTAGCAAGCTCCATTTCATATTGATTTTAGTTAAATTATGTGAAAAATTTCCTCTGGACTGAGATACCTTTAATTGTCCTCTTATTTTCTTCTTTTTAAAACCCCAAAGATTCCTGGCATGAACCATCTATCTGCTGATGGTAACAAAATAAGCCTCATTATCCCAAGAACATTTTCCAAAATGCCAAATTTTAAACAAGGCACAGAAAACAATGAAGAACTCTGCAACCTTAAGACTCAGAGCAATTAAATCCCAACTAAGTGGAATTAGCATCATCTCCCCGTTTCCTCTCGCTTTTGCCAGGCTGGAATTCGCTTTGAGCCGTGACAAACTGCAGTCACCTGCTGCTGACTGTGTGCCAGCCATGGGGAATTTGGGATGGGTAATGCTCTCCCTGCCCTGGTGGCTTTGTTTTTGCCATGAAGAGGTGGGAACTGGAACATCCTGGGGAGCAGAAAGGTTTTGTAGCACAGCAGGAACTGGGGAAGGTTCAGCACTGGAGGTCACTGGGATGTCCCACACCCGCACTGGGAGCAGCTCTGGCCACTGCAGTCTCCAGGTGCTGGCTGCTCCATCCCTGGAGCATCCAAGGCTGGCTTGGACAGAGCTCTGAGCACCCTGCTCTGGTGGAAGATGTCTCTGCCCATGGCAGGAGGTTGGAATTAAATGAGCTTTGAGGTCCTTTCCAACCCAAACCATCCTGGTCCAGCTTCCTGCTCCAGTCAGGGCTCACTTCCATGGGGCTCAGGTCCCTCACTCCAGCCCAGTGCCTCACTCAGATGAACCTAAAGGAACTGCAGAGCCTCCCTGGGCAATGGCACTGGAGCTCCTCCAGCTCTGGAACTGCCTGATCTGGAGCTGTGTCCCCTTCAGGCTCTGCTCATCCCTCTTTTTATTCCCACATGTCCCCAGACACCTCCCTGTGCCCTGGGAGGGCCGAGCAGGGACATTGGGGACACCAAGGACCCTGTAGAGCTCCTCAGCTCAGGCTCTGTGCCCTGCTGGGGGAATGAACCTGCACCTTGTGCCTGGAGCAGCACCTTCAGAGGGACCAGCTGAGGATGGATGTGCTCAGGAAGGAGTTTGTTTGTGCCCACACGTGTTCAGGAAGGAGTTTGTTCGCTCCAGACTTTGTAAGAGCACTTAAATCTTGGGCCAGACTATGAACCATGACCCAGAACCAGGGACATCAGGTTCTGCACTTCTACCCTGCAAGACAAGGGTGGGGGAGGTCTGATCAGGGGCTGGATGACCCCCACTCCATCCTGCACAGCTTGTGGTCAGTAAAATCTCTTTTCTACCTTTTGCTTTCTTTCCTCCGCCCTTTTCCTGGTTTTTTTTCCCCAAACCTTGTCCTCGATGAACAAGAAAAACCCTGCAGAGCAACACAATCCTTGTGCAGCACTTCAGGAGGCACAGCCTGGGGTGGGAGGGATGCAGGGAGCTGCTCACAACAGGGACTGCCTGATCCTGCAGGTTTGTGTTTCCCCAACTACAACCAAACCTTCACCAAGCTGAAATAAGGATTGAGCTCCCCCAGGAGCCCTGGCCTGGAGTTTGAAATCAGCTGAAGAGAATCAGACTGGTCTAAAGCTCCTTTTGTTGTCTCAGGCTATTTATCCATGGTGAAGAGGCCAAAGTTTTTGGTTTATTTTTTTTTGCAGGCCCTAAGAATGACAACAAACCAACCCCCAAACACAGAGGAAATCTGTTAGAAGAGAGAAGCAGCACATTTGCACTGGGATTTATGGATGCAGGACATGCTTGAGCTTAATCCAAACACAGGGAAACCAAAGCAAGTCCAGGGACTCCAACATGACCTGGATCAACCCAAATCTCCCCCAAGCACGTGCTCACCCCTCAGTGATGTAAAACCAAGATGTAAGGGCCCAGCAGAACAGCGGGAATATCACACAAAGCAGGGAAATCGTTGGCAGAGTGCGGAGAGAGAGGCCAGCACATGGATTTAGCACAGCATTGTGACAGGAATGGCCTTCCTGAGGCACAGAGAGAGGTAAAAAAGGCATTCACAGGCTTTTGGTGTGTGCTGGCTGAGGGGAATCTGTCACAACTCACATCCAGTCTGGCTGTGGGTTTACAAGTCATTTTCCAGCCATTTTTCAGTTCCAGTGAAAGGAAAAGAACTTCCTCAAATGTGTTTATCTGATTGCCAGCAATTTCCATTGCAAGGCAGATGAAATAAATAAACACAGGGCAGAGGCAGTTAACAGACTCCAGAGCATCTCAGCAGCAAACATTTTCATGTGGCACTTTTTGCAGACTCTTTTTCCTTGGGAATGGGCTGTTTTGGGCAGCACAGCTCAATCACAGGCTGCTTTTGAGTGACTTGTGCTGTTGAATACACCAAAGAAAGAATTCTCCTACCAAAGCAGGGGAAAAAGGTTGTAAATTCTGATTGTAACTTACATGGCTGTTGAGCAAACTGCTTTTGTGTGATGTAATCCCTTCATTTTTTTGTAGGTTTTCAATCGCCATTTCAAGCTAAAATCAAATGTGCGCAGGAGAGAGAAAAAAAAAAAAAGGAAAAAGAAAGGAAATCAGATAGTTAGCAACAGCCAGGATTATTGTTTCTTTATTAATATTTGAATGATTAATGCTTTATATCAACAAGCTTGTGAAAAAGAGACAAACAGATGAGCACAGTTGGTGTGGATGGAGCTGCAGAGGCGTTACTGGGACATGCAAATGGACACACAGCAGGAACCCCCACGAGGGTGACACAGCAAGGCCAGGGGGAGCTTCTCTTCCACTAAAAGTGCTGCCTATTTATAAAAAAAAGCAATTTTCCTCCTCTTTTTCCTTTCCTGCTGAGAGCAAACCATCGGCAGACAGATCCACTGCAGCGGGCAGAGTAGCCAGGCCTTCCAAGGAGAGCTGGCAGTCATCACTTGGTTACTGTCACCTCTTCACATTTTGTCAAAAAAACCTAAAAAATTCAATAAAACTGGGCTGCAAGGAGAGTGCATGAACTGGGATGGATGAGGGCTCTCTGATGCTGAGAGCTGCGAAGGGAAGAGGGGAGGAGCCAGGTTTCAGCTGAGTTCTCCCCCAGAAGCCAGGATGGAACATTTGGTGCTACCTGAGCTCGTTTCTATTGATGTCAGAGGAGCTGAGGTGAGGCCTTCTGGCTCCTGAGGAGCTCTCTCACTCCCTGCCTGGCTCCTGCTCCACATCAGCCCAGCTGTGGCTGCTGCCTTGTGCCTCAGTCCTCTCCTGAACCCTTCTTGTCTTCTCCATTCTGCTACTGAGGCAGAACCTGGGAATCTCCTTCAGCAGATGGCTGCTGGTCCCAAAGCTCCAGTGCTCCCCTACACCCTACAAGCTTTTTGCAAGAAAAAGATCCCCCCAAACCTCTTAAAGCCTCACATTAGAGCCTGGCAGGAGCAGAACCTGCTGTTTGTCTGCAGCAGATGTTGTCAAAGGCTGTATCTGTGCCCTGGCAGTGCACACAGAGCTCTGCTGCCTCTGTCCTCATTTAACACCTCTGTGGGCACAGCCACAAAGCATCTGCAGATGATCTGTCCATGGCCTGCTGCCCACACTCACAGCCTCACTGACTCACCCCACGGTGGAGATTAAAGCTGAGATCCAGCCAGCCCCTGACAAAGCCAGGCTGTGTCCCAGGAGGGTGGCAGAGAACAGACCAGGCCTGGCTTCTGAAGGGACATCCAGGTGTGAAGGTGACACTCCAGCTCCAGCACATGCCCCTTGGTTTCCACCCCAAAGTGGAGCCACTTCTCGAGGTGTTCTCACAGAATTGAGTCTCAGATTAATGGTGTTTCTGAGAACTGCCTCACGCCGTGATGGACCACGAGGAACCAAAGCCTGAGTGCTGACACAGCCTTCAGGAAATGAGTCAGACTTAGAGGGAGACCCAATTTCCTTCCTCTGCTCAGGGGCTCTTGGAGCAGCAGCTCTGAGGCAAGCACAGAAATGCTGCCTGGCCTTTTGCTGTTGGCAGCTGTCCCATCCAAAAGGACACCCAGCATCTGCAGTAAAAAATATTACGGGGGAAAGACTAAAAGCTCTCGAGCAGCCCTGCAGGAAGGTGAAGAGCTTTGAGGAGCCACTTATGGGAGGTCTCAAAGATTTCTTCTCTTGGTCCAAACTGATTTAGGTGCAGATTAATAGTGCTGTGTTGGCACAGATATTGAATGGAACTGTTCCCTGTGCTGTTTCAGCCCATCTGATGGAGCAGAACATTGGAATTCCAGCAGGTAGAGAAGGTTTCTAAAGAGGTTTCTGAAGTAGCTGAAGATTTTATTTTAGTGCACACAGATTTTACCAAGCATCTCTCAACCTCCTGGGGCAGCTCTTGGACCACTGCTAATCCTGAAATTCTCCCTTGTTTCCATCCTCCCCTGGGATGCCCTCCTTGGTCTCGGGGTCTCTTCCCCAAGCCCTCAACACCTCCAATCCCTCTCCTTCCCACTGCTGACCACTCTGATGTCCATCCCCAAGGCCACTGCAAACACTTTGGCTTCTCTGGCTCCATCTGCACGAGCTCTGCTTTCCTTTCCTCCCACAGAGCTCCCAATCCTGCCCCACCACGTTTTGCCAGGACTACCAGAGCCCCTCTGGTCTCTTTAACACCAGCCTTTCCCAGCCTCTGTTTAGGCTGGACGTTAAAACAGAAAATAATGTTCCTGCCCATGGATTTGATTCAAATTGCTCTCCTTAAGCCATCCATCCTTTCTTGTGGTGCCCAGAGCAGCTGTGGCTGCCCCTGGATCCCTGGCAGTGCCCAAGGCCAGGCTGGACGGGGCTTGGAGCAGCCTGGGATGGTGGAAGGTGTCCCTGCCATGGCAGGGGTGGCACTGGATGGGCTTTGAGGGCCCAAACCAAATGACTCCATGATTAAGTGAAATTCCAGGCAGTCAAGGCTCTGCTTCATCCCCCTCAGACCCTGGTCTGTGCTGCAGGGACTGAAAGCCACACAGACACAGCCCTGGAGTGCCTGCCAGGCTCTTTTCCACCTTTTCCAGCCCTTCCTCAGATATTTTGTGTTAAAATACCTTCAGAAAGCTCCTTCCTACATGCAACAGAGTGGATTTATCTCAGATGTATTTCCATAAAGGTCGCTTTCTAAATTTATTTTTTTTTTTTCTGAACAGCCTTATCTCATGTAATAGCCACCAACTAAATCCATTCATGGGATATTTCTACTGACATATTTTCCACTTGGGCTTTTATATTGTGCTCATCACCATGGAAATGACAAAAAACCCCAAACAACAGAAAAAAACCCCAAAATCCCCCAAAAATCCAAGAGTAAAGTTGTGCAGTTTTGTAAGATGCAATCCCACACAGGTGATGCTTCCAAATAATAACTTTGAGCAAAACCCAAATGGTCCAGTGCTAACTTTTAACTGTGGATAGTTAAAACACACACACACACACAATTGTCACCCAAGTAAAGAACCTCAGCATCTGACATTTTCTGTTCCACTCAAACTAAGGAATTTTCCCCTATGCCTACCCAAGGCAGAACACATTTACTGCAGGATCAAAGTGACCTTTCAAGGCACAAAGATTCAAAAAAACACAAAGTCTATATCCTAAAACTCAGTGGGAAAAGAAAGTACAACATAACAGGCCAGATTTACAAGAATTCTCAGTAGCAACAGCTCCTGATTTTCTCCCTAGTGATGCTGCTCACATTTTAAATTCTGGCTACATACCCTGAATTACACCTACATTAGTATTTATATTTATATATGAATGCATAAACACACAGAAGTCTGCAGAGGGAGGTGAGCAGTGTCCCATGAAATGAGCTCCAGGCACTCCTGGAAGCTGCTGAGGGCTGGGAGATTCCCAAATCAAAGCCTTGGTGCTTCTCCCTGCAAAAGGGCTGTTTTGGGTGAAGGGCTGTAAGCCCTCAGTCCCACAGCTTCCAGCACCAGCTGAGCTTCCAGCACCTTCCACCTCAGCTGGAGGGATGAGATTTAAAGAAATCAGAACTTTAAACCATTTCTGTTTGATCAGTATTACCCCTAAGAGACATTTTCTAAACATGTGGCAAGGGCAGAATACACAATGGTGTAGGACATATAAACACAAAGGCTTTTTGATCACTGTGCACTTGGCATGATCAGCTTGACACAACTTGTGTGCTAATTATCCACTGGGTAAAGGAAGGATTTCTCAGGTCTCTTCATAATTGAAGATATATTTCAATATTTTGGGTGAGAGGAATGATGGATTTGTCTTTACAAACAAGCTGTGGGTCTGCTGGTAAATAAAACTAGCACTGAGAGATAAAAGAAACAATGGGAAGGATTCCACTGATTGATGAATGGAAAAAAAAGTGGATTAATTTTCCTGACATGGCTAAGCATGCGTGAGATGTTTCACTTATTAGAAAACATAAATAAAGACAAATCTTTAAAAGCCAAAATAATTTTGCTTGAGGAGTAAAAAAAAAAAACCAAACCAAATCGAATGCTTTATAAACATTTGAATGATTAATGCTTTCTCTTCTCTAATCTTTTCTAATGCTGCATAATTCCAGTGATCTGCTGAGCGAGAGTCCAACCCAAAAATAAGTGCGGTACACCAGTGTCTATTCTCTCCCTTGCACTCATGGCAGGTTACAGACATATACAGTGATAATGACAGGTCAGATTTATTTTCTGAAGGCTTTTCAGTTCCCTTTGGAATCATTGCTGGCCCCCGAGCTGCGCTGCCTGCAGGGCTACATACCGTTGCTGGAGAGGAGCGTGAGGTGTGTGACAGAGAATGTCTAGAGTTCTCCAGCCCCCCATGAATGAGATAGGCTCCCGAGCCGGAGAGGATCTGACTTCCCCCAATGTCCATGGTGATGCCCACCATGTTGTGAGAGGGAATGGCTGTAGGAGAGGATGCCGCTGTAGTCACCTGAGCTCCACCTCCTCCCTGCGCTTCGAAATAGGGCGCGGCGCTGGCGGGAGCGTAAATCTGCGCCTCGCTGCTGTAGGAGTAGGCGGCTCGTCTGTGCAGGGGAAAAAAGGGGGACATGAAGAGGAGCTGGAAGAGGGAATCCTGTGTTTGACAGCTTCTGAAAGCTGGGGAAGTGTCAGAAAAACCCCTCAGGTGTTGGTGGGGTTTGTGCTGTTGGAATCTGTGCCGGGATCAACCGGCCCCGCAGCTCGAGCTCATGGTGAGGGCAGAGCCTGGAGCTCTTGTAAGGAACTGGGGTGAGGAAGGACAAAAAGAGGCACAAAATGGGGCACAGCAGACAGGAGGAAGAGGAAATTCTAGGGTGGAGATGCCCTGGCACAGCTGTGGCTGGAAGTGTCCAAGGCCAGGTTGGATGAGGCTTGGAGCAGCCTGGGATAGCAGAAGGTGTTGGAAGGAGATGGGCTTTAAGGTCTTTTCCAATCCAAGCCATGCTGGGATTCCTCGACTCTATAAAATCTTCCAACACCTCCTTTTTCCTCTAAAAGTTCCACTCTTAAAGCTGCCCATGCCACCACACAAAGTGCCTGGCACAGGGGAACAGCAGCTCCTTTCCTGAGCAGGATTCCCTGGAGAAACAATCCCCCCATGAGGACAACACCCCCAGGGCCGGAGTCTGGCTGAAGCCACCCTCACACCCAACAGAACACCTGAAACAGCTCCTCCTCTTCCTCCTCCCACTGTGGGGCTGGGCTGGCAGGAGCCTGGGGCTGGGAAGGGCAGGGAGGTGGGAGGGGGACAGCTCAGAGAGGCTCTTACATGGTTCCATTGGTATAAACAGCTTCTCCTCCTTCCACATACTGCACCTGGGCTGGATAAACGTGCTGCACGGTCTGCACCTGCAACAGGCAGCAAAAAGTCAGGGATTGCTCAGGAACCACTGGTTAAACTGCACAGCTCCAACCTTACCCTGACACTCAGGCTTTCTTCTTTAAAAAAAAGGAAAAAAAAAACCAAACCAAAACAAAACTCCTGCCCCTCCTCCCCTCCATGCTTAGGAATCCCAAAGGAGGTTTTTATTTCCAAAGGTCAAGTTAAAATAGATAAGTAAGTGGTTGCTCCATGAGCAGTGGAAACAATGGAGCTGGGTTTCCTCTGGACACGTGTCTTGGGGTGACTAATAGGGGTGAGCTCATTCTGCAGCCTTTCCTTCAGAGGGGAGCCTGACAGTGTCCAACTGCACCCCAGACCCCTTTTATTCCTCTGGGAGGGATGGAGTTGCCCTCTGTCAATTTTTTTCCCCCTGAAATGGAGCAACCAAATGAAAAATCACTAAAGGAAAAAGAATTAAGAAGGTCAGACTTGATGTCCACATGGAGCAGCACCACATATCCCTGGTTTCTTAGGAAACAAGCCCTGGAAAAGGCAAAGTTCAAATAAATAAAAACACTTGCAGGGCTCTCTGGCACCAAACCTTTCTATGGAGCCACGTGTAGTCAGTAAATTTGTTTAATTAAAAAAAACCCAAACATTTAGCCTCTAAAGAAAGATCTTTACCAAAGGAGATTGCTTTTAATTTAACTTTGATTTAATAAATGCTTTAAAATTGAAGTTGAAAGCATCCATCAAATCTTCAAACACCTGAAAGACAACTGCTACAGCAAAGGTTCTTCCTAAACTTCAAATATCTTGAGAGCTTATTTTGTCATGATTCTAAGAAAGGAGGAGAGAGCTGGAGAAAATGATCCTAGCTCTCTGACTGCCCACAACTCTTTAATTAAGATTTTTCTAGATCTGGCACAGTTCCAAAGTCCCCAGAGTGTTCATTACCTGTTGTGGAACCTGCTGGACTCTGGGAACAGAGATTTGCTGCATCTGCGCCCCTTTGGGAGCGGAGCCTGTAGCTTGGACCAAAACCCTCTGCAAGGAGAAGATACAGGAAGAGACAATTTCAGAACATATCACAGGTGAGCCAGGTGCTCTTTTCCAAAATTTCATGACCAGCAGCAGCAGTGGCATCCTGTAATTAATGTCACCCTCCGTGGGCTGCAGCAGCCTGAACTCAGCCCCCTGAATTTGGGCAAAGCTGCCTCCACACTTTCTGACAGGAATCATCTTTAAACCTCCACAAAAGGAAATAACAGTTCATTGATAAGTTCAGCTAGATAAGAATCACTCCTCACACATCCACATTTGGCTGCAAGGTTCCTTCTCTTACAGCTGCTAAACCCAACCACACTCTGCCTCCTGCAACAAGAAATCCCACCAAGCTTCTGCCAGCAGCGAAGCTCAGGTGGTTCTGCTTCTCCCTGCAGTGCCACCAAGGGCACAGGGATGTTTTGTGGTGTTTTTGATGTTTTGTGGTGGTGGCTCTGTCACTTCCATCATCCCTGTCCTTCACTCCACTTTTGGTCTGAGGTTGTCAACACATCTCAGTGTGCTCAGCACCTTCAGACCCAGCAAAACAAATGTGGGCATGTGGTGGATGGAAAGAAAGGATTCACTGGGAACACAGCCAAGCATCTCCATGGCCTTTTAAACCTTCTCCAAGCAGACACATCCTCTGTGCTTGGAGGCTTTAAAAACCCCCAGGAGTTTGGGCCGACAGATCAAAGAGCCAGAAAACAATCCCAGAAACAACCCTGATAATTACTGGCTACCTTATACATGGGTATTTATGATTTTTAGCCCTCCCAACATATCCATGTAACAACCAGAAACCCAGTTTGAGCAGAATTACAGGTTTGTGACAATTGCCCAGACCTGCAGGCAGCTGCTCCATCCACAGTCCCCAGGTTGCATTCCCTGCAGATCCCACACTCATGTCAGCCATCACCTGGCCCATTTTCCCTCCACAAGGGGCTGTCACCAGTGCAGGATGGGGACACCACAGGCCCTTTTTGAAGTCAGGCCTTGGCAGTGCCACCAACATCAAAGACTCTTTCCTTTCTCCTACTTTTTTCCCCATTTTCTGGCATTGTTTTTGCCAAATGCCACAACCCTGGCCAGGCTGCCCAGCTCAGCTCCTCGCTGCCTGTCCAGGTGCTCTGCTAACACCTTCCAGCCAAAATAAGGAATCATCCCCAACCTGGGAGGTGAGGCCATCCTGCTCAAACAGCCTCTGCTCACACAGAAAGGGGCAGCGGTGCTCAACAACCCCGAGGGCTCCAGCCTCCCACCATTCCTGCTGCCAGCAGTTCATTCCCAGTGTTTTCTTTGTCCTGCTGGTGAGAAGGGATGGCTCTGGATGCTCCTCCTCTTCAGCACTCTTCCACCATCCCCCAGATTTTCCTCAATCCACGGCGTTCCACTCGGTGCTCCGTGTCCCAACGACAGCACAGGCAAAGGCTGGATGGGTGATTTCATAACCCAAAGGATTTCCAGCCTTTGTTCACAGCCAAATCCACATCACTGATCCCAGGGACACGTGGCACTGCTGGTCACTGCTGTCCCCATCCCTGCCACACCAGCAGGGAATGCTCCCCGTGGATGGGAAGGCTGGGAGGTGACAGCAGCGCTCTGGATCACCCGATGGGAATGTCCATGGCTCCTGGAGAGCTGAATATTCCTTCTGATTCCTGATCTTTAATCGTTCCTTTTCATCAGCATCCAATGGCAGCTGCTGCTGCTCACTTGGGAGTTGGAGAAGGATGAAGCTGAGTTACACCCACCCATCCCCTTATCCCTCCAGCTTCCTGTGACAGAAATTTCTTTTTAAAGTTCCCCAAAAGGCATAAAAAGGAACAAAAAGGAACCAGTTTCACTTAACCCTTCCTGTTTTGCACTGGGTGGTTCCCATTCATCACTTGAAGCCATCACTTGTCTCCTGTTGGGCCTCCCAAATGCAGCATATTCATGGACATTAATCAGAAATCCCTCCTTTGCAAATTAAAACGTTGGGATCTGCCTACCCAAGGAAGAGACCACGGAATCATGGAATGGTTTGGGTTGGGATGGACCTTACAGGTCACCCAGTGCCACACCTGGACACCTTCCACCATCCCAGGCTGCTCCAAATCCTGTCCAGCCTGGCCCTGGGCACTGCCAGGGATCCAGGGGCAGCCACAGCTGCTCTGGGAAATCCACTCCAGGCCCTCCCCACCCTCACAGGGAACAATTCCTTCCCAATAGCCCATCTACATTTCACTTTTTCAGTGGGGAGCCATTCCCTGTGTCCTGTCCCTCCAGGCCTTGTCCCCAGTCCCTCTCCAGCTCTCCTGGAGCCCCTTTAGGCCCTGCAAGGGGCTCTGAGCTCTCCCTGGAGCCTTCTCTTCTCCAGGTGAGCACCCCCAGCTCTCCCAGCCTGGCTCCAGAGCAGAGGGGCTCCAGCCCTTGGAGCAGCTCCGTGGTCTCCTCTGCACCAGCTCAGCCCTGTCCATGCCCTTCTGAGGACCCAAACCTGTCCCCAGCAGTGCAGGGGGAGGCCAGGAGGGCAGAGCAGAGGGAGGAATCCCTTCCCTGACCTGCAGCTCCTCAGAGGATGCAGCTCTGGCTCCTGCACCCTCCCCAGCACCAGCTCTGCCCTCAGCTCTCCCCATCCCTGGAGCCTTTCAGGACTGCTCCATCTTCCCCTGCTTTTACTGACAATGACAACAGGAAATTGATCCAAAGCAAACACCCAGCTGGCACAAAGTGACTCCCTTGGGGACCTGAATTAAACCCCAAACCCCAAATCCCCCCAGGGGGATCGGGAGGGCTGAAACCCACAGGGCCTGAACACCCAGCCCAACAACAGGTTATCCCTGCTACCTCAACGAGCTAAAAACCCTCTCCCAGCTATCAAAACCCGGGATTAAAATCCATCTGGCAGGGAAAGCAGGGCTCTTCTCCATGGAAACAGCATCCCCAGCTGTGCATGCGTTACCTGCTGCGAGGCTGGCACCGGCTGCACCACCGGGGCCTGGGCTGCGGCCGACGTGTGAAGCGCCACGGAAGCTGCTGAGTCTGATCCACCCTCGGGACTCTGCATGCTCACTGCTGGGGACAGCACAGGGACATCAGTGGGGACAGCACAGCACAGCCACACCCCCCCCAAAAACCCCCTTTAAACCGGGGGTAAAATCCCAGTGGAAAATCCGGAGGGAAGAGCTGGGTTGGGAGGCAGCTCCCGTCCTACACGCGGGACTCTTTTTAGTCCTGGAGCTAATTTTAATGCAGAATTCTATTAAGGAAAAAGAAAGTTGCACAATTGTTTCACTGAGAGGAGAGGGAAGGAACAGAAAATGCACTTCTATATTTAACCAAAAAGTGGCGTTGGAAAATTATTGTGTCACAGTGAGCATCACACATGATCGGGAAGAGTAGGGGCAGATTTTTAAAATAAAATTTCTCCCCCTCTGCCTCATCACGTTTAACTACTGCAAAAAAGCTTTCCATCAAACCTAAGCCCATGCCTGGAATTTAGAGCTAAGGTTTTACTGGCAAAGCGGGGTGGTCAGCTTGGGTTTATAACCAGAAATAATCAAGGATGAAGAGCGCAGGAACAATAATTCACCATCATCTTACAACCTCCAAATCAGCATCTCCACCCTCCCCAAAATCCCACCAAGGTCCCCAGCATCGCCCTCCACTGCCACAGAACCCTGCAGAGCTGAGACATCCTCAAATCCCTGAGTCCCAGCTCTCCCTCCTGGCACTGTCCCAGCCCCTGGGGACACCGAGGGATGCTGAGATGCACACAGTGGCATTTGGAGAGCTTTTTTGGGGTGGGGGAGCCTTTTTCCCCCTCCATTTCCTGTTGGTTTCTTGTGAAACTTCCTGCTTAATGAACTATTTTAGGAGGGTTTCTGCTGTCACTTTGAAAGGTTAAAAACATCCAGATTTTGGGCAGTGTCATTTCTGCTTTCTCGGCCTTGCTGCTGAGCCTCCAAACACATTATGATGGCTTTTGTTTTATTTCCCTTCTCCCATCAGTATTTAAACTTTTCCCTCAACTTTGGGCAAGTTAAGAGGAAAAAGGAAAAATGAGAAATTGAAGGACACTGGACCTGCTCATTTGTGTTCAAAAGAAACGCAAGGGGGATGTGAAATTACAGAATTTACCTGTTTATTTCTTCAGCCACTGACAAAACACCTCAAATAATAAAATTCTCCAAAAATCAGGTTTTAAAGCATTTTTTCCCTCAATACTCCATACTCCCATTAACAAATTACAATTACTCTCCCAACCTTCCCAAAACCCCAGAGCTTGCAAACAATTTTTCTCATTGAAAAAGTAGCTATAAATATTCTTTTATATAAATATAAAAGAAGCCACAGAGTCACAGCTACCAGATTAATCCAACAAACCAGAAACAAGGGAAATTAAATCAATATTTATTCCTGTGTCCTCCCCAGGCCCCTCAAGCTGCCCTCAGCACCCCCATCCCTGCAGCTCTGCTATATAAAGGCAGCACCTGCCTCTCCCCATCACTGACCCTGGGTTTTAGCCAAAACCTCCCTGTGAGAAGATTCCAGTTGCAACAGCACCGTGGGATCAGGAAAATAATAATTCTCCCATTAAATGAGGGGAAACATCTCCTTGCCTGCTCCAGCCCCAAATTATTTGCAATTAAACACTTGGCCAGCACTGCTGGATTTGGAATGCTCAGGTGGAGATGCTCAGGCAGGAGAGGGGGGAACTTTTAGCACCACATCTACTCCCCCAACTTTTCCAGAAGTGTTCATTGTCTGTCCCTTGTGCCCAGGGCTGTGGTTTGCAGCTTTCCAGGGTTTTGTGATTATGCATGGTGAGGTTATAGAAGAGAGGTGGGTGAGTTGACAAAGATATTTTAATTATTGATTAATGGCTCTGGCAGGGTCAGCTCTTGGCATTTTAGGTCTACAAAAGGTCTCCTTTAAAGTGTAGCTACCGTCAGAAAACACTTGGAAAAGATGGAGTTGGACTTTGAGGATCCTTGTAGGTCTATGCCAACCCAGAATATTCCACAATTCTATGATTCAAATCACCAACGACTCGTCTTTGCTGATACATTTTGTCTTCTGCTTTCCCTCAGTGACCAGAAGAGAGCAGAGATGTGGGCAGGGTAGAAGGTGAATTGTCTGCTGCCAAAATAAATCCCCAGTGTGATTTTGAGGTTTGCTCTGGCAGTGATGACAGCCACACCAGACACAAAGGCTCCGAGGAAATCTGCAGATGGCACTTCCAGACAAGGTAGACAGACAGAGAAGTCCTGGACTGCCAAGCCACACGTACAGGACTTGTTATTATTTTATCTATCAGTGCAACATCCTGGAGAAAGAATAATTCACTTCTCATTAAAGCCATCCTGTGCTTCCTGAGAACTGGATTCAGATCTGTGTGCGCCATCTGCTCTGGTTAATTTGTGCTGATGGAAAGCTGACAGCACACACAGAATTCCTGCGCTCCCAGAAAGCAGCACAAGGTGCTGCAGAGCCCTGCTGATGCCCTGGAAGCTCGGCTGGCACCTGAGCCAAGGCTCCAGAGGGTGGGGAAAGCCTTGGCTTCCAAGGATCAGAGGAAATGTGGCACCCAAAGTCTTGCTCTTTCCTCTCCACCTCATTTTTATTTTTTAAGAACAGGTCACATAAATCAGAGGTGGGACTGGAATGGCCTTGGTTTTCATGGGGTATTTAGGCCTTGTATTTCCATCATAGATTGGTTTGGGTTGGAAGGGACCTTAAAACTCATCCCACTGCAGCCCTGCCACGGCAGGGACACCTCCCACTGTCCCAGGCTGCTCCAAGCCCTGTCCAGCCTGGCCCTGGACACTTCCAGGGATCCAGGGGCAGTTCCTGTCTCAAGCTCCTCATTATTCCAGGCTCAGGAGCTGTCCTGGAGCTCCCTCAGCCTTGTGCAGCGTCCTCTGCCACATCCCTGAAACAAATACCCACGGAAGGACTCCCTGCTCTCCTCCCTGCCCACTTTTCACCTCTCACAGGGAAGTTTTACAGTGTTCTTGATCATCTTCTCAGCAGCAACTCTCTGGCTGTGAGCCTGTGCTTCCCTTGCTTCCCACAGAGCTAAGGTTTGCTTCTTCCTCTTAGACCTGGCCAAAGGCAGAGAGGTTTATCCCACCTGTAGCTCTCTCACAGAAGGGAATGACAGAAGCCATTAAAAGATGTCTCGTGGTCTCTGACAGCCTGGCAGTCCCTGGGACTGTGGAGTCTGCAAACTGAGAAGTTAATTAATAATCAGCAAAGCTGCTGGTGGGTCACAGAGAGGATCAGCAGCAGCCACAGGTGATAGTCTCAGTTCCAGGGCTCATTACCGGGTGAAGAAGAGCAAAAAAAAAACCCCAGTTATTGTGGAGAAATGAGCAGATGGACCTGACCATGCAAAAGGAATAAAATCGTGGTGAGAATCCCAGAATGGTTTAGGTATAAAGGGACTTTAAAGCTCATCTTGTTCCAATCCCCTGCCATGGCAGGGACACCTCCCACCATCCCAGGCTGCTCCAAGCCCCGTCCAGCCTGGCCTTGGACACTGCCAGGGATCCAGGGGCAGCCCCAGCTGCTCTGGGCACCCTGTGCCAGGGCCTCACTGCCCTCACAGCCAACAATTCCGTTTTAATTCCTAATTTCTAATCTAAATCTACCCCCCTTCACCTTAAAGCCATTCACCTTGTCCTGTCACTGCATGACTTTTTATAAAGTCCCTCTCCAGCTCTTTCATAGGCACATTTTGGACACTAAAAAGCTGCAACAAGTTCTCCTTCCAGTGGATTTATTCAACACATTGGCATTTCAGAGAGAGACAGGTTTAAAGTCCTGGTTGCTCAATGTGGTTGGTGATGTCACAGGGGCCACCAGGGCCCTGGAAGGCATCACAGACATCTGGATTCCAGGTTTCATCATCACTGAATGAATCAGGCAGATAACCAGGCTGCTGCCTCTGGAAACCTTCTGTTTACACACAGCTATCTGGGTATCCAAGCAAACAGCAGGGTCAGGAAAGGAAATTCAGGAGAAAAAACAAAACAAAACACCAACCCTAATAACTTCTGGGTGCTATTTCTGGTCCTGCCACCAGCTCGCTCCGTGACCTTGAACAGGATGCTTCCCTTTCCCTGTGCTTCAATTCTCCCACTCCTAAAAAAGCCACAAATACTCCCCTAGGCAAGGTGTTTTTTAAGCACTGGTCTCTGAGGGTTGTCAGAGCCTGAATGCCTTTCAGAAAGACAAGGAGTAACTGTACAAGCCTTGAGGGCTGATAAAAACTCGGGTTGTCACTTTCATTCATAAGGCACCTTGGCTCCATGTAAATGGCCTTGCCTTTGTTAATCTCTCCTGCCTAAAGCAGCTCCAGAACGCTGGGAAAACAGAGATAAGAGGAGCATTTCAAAATATTTTCTATGTTCAGATTTGCAGGGGGAGTGGGGGGAAAGGAGGAGGCAGCAGGGGGAGATCACAGGGAGAATCCTTCAAGTGCTGAGGAGGGGATGGAGCAGCATCCCCTGCACCCCAAAAGAGTCTGGGGAGGGAGGGGCTGATGCCAGAGCTGCCCTGGGCTCAGGGAAATGTTTGGTTTTCCAGGAAAATGTTTGGTTTTCCAGGGAAATGTTTGGTGTTCCAGGGAAAGGTTTGGTTTTTGTGTCTTTGGTGATCTGGTCCTCGCTCTGCAGCACACATGGCAGCAGCAGCCATCCATCCCAGGCAGCTCCAAACTCCAAATTAAAGGGGATTTAAAACCTTCCTTAGGCCCAGGGCTGCTCCTGCTGTAATTGTGGCCACCCTACTTTTTGTTTTTATTCTACAGGACATGGATAGAACTCCCTCTCCACCTTATTTTTATTTTTTTAAGAGCAGGTCACGTAAAGCAGAGGTGACACTGGCCCAGCCTTGGTTCTCATGGGGTATTTAGGTCTTGTATTTACATATCTTTATTTCTTTAAGGTGAAAATGTAAAACCTGTGAGCTACCCTACAGCAGCAGCCAACTCAGAAAATCATGGAATATGGAATGTTTTGGGTGGGAAGGGACCTTAAAGCTCATCCCATCCCACCCCTGCCATG